ACACAGCATTTTTTCACTAATTTAAAGGTGAGCAACATCTTATAAGGTAAAAAAGCATTATTGGCGGTGCAGGGCTTAAGAATCATGTGGCATGGTTGACAGACAGTTGGACCATTAACACAAAGTTGTACTTGCGTTTTATTGTACATCATTGTTACCTCAAACTATTGTTGTAGACATCTCTTTATAGTAGACTAGCTATTGCCTGCGGCTCTGGCAGTCAGGTTCACTAACCACTAGGCCAACAGGCCCGTTGTGTGTATGTATGTTCCTTTTTAAGGGATTTCATAACTACCTGTCACTTTTCATTTATAGAACTACAGTTTTATTAAAGTAAGTGCTGCCAGCTATAATTAATTGCCGTAGTAAAATACTAACATCGCGTGTTGTTCACATCCAGACATGCAACAATGTTATTTGCACGACAACTTAAATATTTCACTTCCATATTTTTTGTCGAAAAAGAATGGTAGCTATCAGTAAATAGTTAAAAAGATAAGACAATATGCAGCACAGAAAACATACTCACCACTTAGTTTTTGATGGAGCCTCTATCAGATCACACACATTTTGGTCTTCTTAGTTTTATAACCAAATCGGTTTAAAAAAATAATTATTATAATCCGTTCAGAAATTATTCAGAAATCGCGTAACATAAATTAAAAATCTATTAAATTGAAAACCTTTTTTCAGACGATCACCTAAACCTCTCAACAAAGTATTAATTATCGAAAATATTGCTATTACATAATTTATTATAAACAAGAGCCAGTCGGTTGCTGTAAATCAGACTTAAGATCTAGAACGGAATGAATATTGTGACTTCAAGTGTAACGGATCGCAAAAATAATAAAAAGGAAACCTTTTTTCAAACAAAGACAAAAGTAACCTTTGGACAAAAAAAACTTTAAGTCTATAACAAAACTTGTACTGAAGTTTATAATTTATGATTTCGTGTCGCTTAGATTTCCAGTCACAATCTTTGTTGCTTTATTTCATAAATTCATTGAGCTCTTTTTCGTGTTTAGGTATTTTAGATTACAAATTTCAGATTAGTAAATTGTGAGAGTGTTAGCCTGAAGAACAAATCAATTCAAATAAGAAAATGTTCTACATACAAATTTAGAAAGAATCCTTTACTATGACAATCAGACTACTGATAAACATACTTCTATGTTTCTAAATACATAGCTATTATACGTACCTAAATATTATCATAGATTAATTACTCACATACCCAGAACAAAAATCCTACTCATCAAACAATTATTTGGCTTGTGAATGAGAAACGAAATCACGACCCTAGCAGTTAGGATCATTAGCCACTAGGTCCAAAGGCCAGAAAAACACACATAACTACACACTATATTTTTGTATTGTTTTTTTTTTGATGGGGTGGAAAATTCCCTTCGGATCTCCTGCTAATCGGAGACTCAGGAGCCCGGAGTATATGGTGATTCCACTAAAAACCACCCTGACGGACGGCCTCAGGTCTACTCTTTGTGAACCCGAGAGTATGATATATATGTAGATCAATAGTAAACACAATTAATTCAAACACCTAAAATTAGTTTGTATTTCACAATGAAATATAAATTACCTATTATTACTGCCTTAAAAATTCAGTACAATTTCGGTGAACTGAATTTGTTACCATACATATGGTATAGAGATTACATACCAATGTGTTTTTGTTGTTGTTGTTTTTGTCCTAAGCAGACAGAGGATGAGTGATTGTAAAATTTTATTTAGACACGCGTAATTATGACGTTTATATGTTACATTGTCGATGTTTTTATTTTTTATTTTTTTATGTTAGAGGGGGCAGACGAGCAGACGGGTCACCTGATGGAAAGTGACTATCGCCGCCCATAAACGTCTGCAACTCAGGAGTAACAAACGCGTTGCCGGCCTTTTAGGAAGGAGTACGCGAATTTCTTGAAATTTTGAAGGTCGTATCGGTTCGGAAGATAACCCGTTCCACAGATTGGTTGTGCGCGGCAAAAAGTGTCAATTTTTTTTGTCGAATCTTTCAATACAATGATATGATAACACTGATAATTTAAACGAGTATGTCTATGTGTATTTGTGTCTGATTTATTTATGATGGGAAGTCTTAGATAGATAAACCGATTTTGATTTAATTTGTTTCTGTTTAGAACTGACTTAATCGAGAATGTCCTTAACTATCTCCCAAGAAAATCAGTCAGATTATCAGCTCTTTTCTAACCGTTTTGTATTGAAGTAGCTTTTGTCCTCGGCTCCGCCCGCGTGTATGTAGGTCGCTTTAAATGTTAAAATTAGTGAAAGAATATTTTAAATCGGTTTAGTGTCGTAAAGTGGCACTTTCAAATTTATAACAAATGTATAATGTACGAGTATAGAGGTATTTTAACAGTTTTAATTAATGCTTACAAACGTAAATTCGCTGTTTTTTAAAGCAGGCAGAGCAATCTGCATGTAAATCTAGACAATAACAACACAAATCAATTGAGAATTGCTGGCAATAATTATTTGCCCTTGAACGTCAATTGCTACATACACTAATAACCCATTTATTTGCCGTTTAATTTTTCACGTAACCTTGTCTCGGCATTATCGATTACGGCCATTACTCTTCATAATACTTTAAAATAAAACTGAACTGCAACTCTACACTGTATCCACATACGTATGTATATAAGTACGCCTATATCGATGAAGGGTTAGGCAGAGGCGATCGAATCACCCACATTTTGTGGACTATAATCTTCGTCCCATTGACGTAATAGCTGCCTATTACCGTCAACCGATCGCTTTAAGAATCAAAGGGCAAATTGGGAGTTCAATATGAAAGATTCATCAAGAGCCTATATGAAAGATTAAATAGGTGAAAATGGTCGATTACGTACCGGTGGATTAAGGAGTGTAAACAAAAGCAGAGGACCTAGTGTAAGTTTATTTCTAGACTTGCAACGAATAGTATATTCGGCAGTATACCGAATACCTAATATTCGGCGAGGCCCCTGACCGAATAGCCGAATATTAGGCAAAAGTATTCGGCTGGATTTTAGCGCCAAAAACTTGTACAGACGTGAATTAAATTATGTACCTGTTTTATGTACCAATGACTACTTAATAAATGATTATAAAAGAAATGAGAACCTTACCCTTCTAAATTTTGATTACCACAATAATTCAAATACATAGAATCCTCCGTTTTTCCTATTCAGAAGATGATTATGTACCTGTGTTATGCACCAATGACTACTTAAATGATTATAACAGAAATGAAAATATGAATATATACGTAATCAATCGATTTTAATTTTTCATTTTACCAATTATTTCTCAATGACAAAATATATTATTTAAGTATTCGGTATTCGGCCGAATAATATGTAGATATTCGGTCGAATATAATAAAAGCAGCCGAATAGGCCGAATACCGAATAGTAACCGAATATTCGTTGCAAGTCTATTTATTTCACATCAACTTGCTATCGACAGCGAGCGTGTTTAGGTTGCGATTAGTGAAAATCGTTGGTCAGGATGGTGTGCCTGTAAATCGAACGGGCTCTTGTCAGGAATGCCGAGCCTTGTAGCCTAAACTCTTTACTGTATATCTATATGTAAAATTACACTTACACTAAAGAGTTTGTTTCTTGGTGGGTTGAATGCGCTAATCTCAGGAACTACTGGTGTAGTGTGCGGGTTCCTGGAAGCCGGTAATAAAATACGTGATTGCACCACCGACGTTTTAATTAGACTGACTTACGTTTAATTACATAGTTATTGCATAAAATTATGTACACCATACTACACCACTGAGGTACAAGAAAAGTTTTTTTTTTTAAAACTTACGCTAATATAAAGGGAAAATAAATGCATAACCTAGTATATAGTTAACAGGTATAAAAATATAAGTACTAAAATTTATCAAGGGAGGATATAGGCTCTATAACACCGCGCTACAGCCTATAGGGGCCGAGTATTAATGAAGAATGTTGTAAAAACGGGGAAAAATTATTTCTTTTGAGAGATACAGACGCAGTTGCGAGGGTCAGCTAGTTAGAAATAAATAAATAAATGTTTCTTTTGTAATCAGTCACCTCCGATCACTTTTGTAATCGGTTCTTTTGTATGGATCAACTGTACAAATTTGCTTAACCTCCCTGAACGCGTAATCGATGATTTGAGGTTTTAAATTCTTTTGTCAATGATCTCACAATAGCGCAATCATTTCCTTAGAAGTGCGAGCGAGATAAGAAGAGTTTTATACATATTAGTTCGAGTGCAAATAAAATACAATGTCATCTCTAATAAAAAATAAACAGTGTATGACATAATTCTTTGGCTACAGTACTCACGTGAATCGCAAACGTATTATTAAGTGTCTATTTTTCTAGTTCGTGCCAGTGTAATGTTATGTTTGAAAGTGCGTTTAACAAAATTCTTATAACTTCCTGTGAACTACCACGACCAACTAGCTTAGTTTAAAGTACTTTAACCTTGAAAATAGTAGTTTTTCCTTAGTTCTTATTTAGTTTGAAGTATAGTGAAAAATACTGAAGCCCGTTGTGTTTTTTTTTAAATTAGTGACTAAACAAAAAGACGACACGAGTTTAGAATTTACCTAATGTTTGCATTTTAGTTAGAACGGCAACGCACTTGTGACCTGCATGACCTTGTGACCCATCCCTTCGTTTGCCCCTATACAAAAAAAAAACTATCATTTGAATTCAGTTGAAGATTTGTTAAGGCGAACAAAGTTCTAAGTAAATACTAAGCAGCGTTTCTTTAAATGTAGGAATGTCTTATTTTTATTACTGAAACTAATTTAAAACTGAATTACTCTCTCTATACTTGGTGTATTAAGTGTGTCATTTTATGTGTGAAAAAATACTGCCTCTGTACGTCTTGACTTCAATTATGATCAGCACGTCTTAACAATATCAATCCTTTTAAATAATAAACCAGCTGTGGTGATTAGTGATAAAATACTGTATAGTGTGAAAGAAATGATTTTAGGAACAGTAACGCAAAAGACGAATCCTAAAATGAAGTGTGCGCGTAGAAGCGTCTCGTTATTTAACAAGAAAGATAAAGAAGTAAAAGTTACCAAAAGGAAGACCAGTTTATGGGCAAGTAATTTAAGTATACTCATCTTTACATAGTGTAAAATAAAGTCGCTTAGATCTTAGAAGTAACTAACTTAATGTTGTAACTACTGATATGTCAATCTTGCCCCACTACACAAAAATGGCATTGACCAGTATGACCAGAGCGAGCTACATTTTTAACATCAAAATTCTTGATCTGAAAACACTTGAACCAAGTATGTGCTACTCTTATTGACACTGCATTAAGTCTTTAGTCTAGTTAATTTCTAATTCTTTTTTTAATTATCATCAGATTTACTCATTTTGTCGAAGAAAATCAATTGATAGCGGGAAAGTGTTTTTACTTTTTTTTTCTTTTTCTTATGTCCTATATTAATTGAAGTTAAAACGAGCCAGTTACAAACAGTACAACCAAATAGATTTTTCAATTTTATACAATGAAATACACAATATGAAAAAACTTTTTCCCCGACCTATGCATACGAGTATATAGCCAAACGTGTATATCGACAGTGACCTTTATACCTTTATAATCTTATTAATGTGATGGTGTTAGCTAATAAATTACAATTCCACCACCATATGACAGCTCAATAGTATAATATGTGTGGGATTAATTAACCTTAATTAATTTCACAAGGACTGTCATTGTATGTCACTGGCAATATTTTTGAGCGAAAGCGGAGCTCATATGTGCAATGTGTGTTATAATGCTGGATTATCATATTTCCAAATGTATTCTTTTCCTTTTTTTGTTAAGAGATTTATAACGAGTATAAAAACTACAGGGTTTTATGATCAATATTTAAATTTCTTTTAGATAAGTAATATAATGTGTTTTATGACAATAGAACTTGTGTGACAAGGTAGATAGATGGTTGTCTATGATTAAAATATGTTGATTTAATGTTTTTATGAAATTAAATGATATTATTTATAATAAAATATATTAAATATTGTCCGTGTGGTGACGGATTATCAATACGGAGTGTCACCACCCCTTTTCATCCCATAGGTGTCGTAAGAGTCGACTAAGGCAGCAAACTACGCAGGATAACAGCACCGCTAAAGGAGAAATATTTGTTCTGTGCTTGGTATAGTAAGCCAAAACCTCGTCTCTAAGGAGAGGCATATGTCCAGTAGTAGACTATTAAAGATTGTTCATGATGATAATGATAAATATATAAAATAATATCAACAAAAAGAATTTCATCGGTAGACATCATTTTCAAATAAACATTAAATTACCTATTTGACGATAGCAAAGAATGACGTCACAAATTGTTATTTAATGCAGGTCGGAAGCTACCGTTTTAACTTTTTAAGAGAAGATTATTCATATTACTGATAATGTATAGATTTGTCATAATAACTGAATGTTAAGTCTTCTGCAAATATGCCACGCTAATCAAGCTATTTTGGGAAACGTAACCTAAACTATTTTAGGAAACGTAACCTAAACGTAACCATAAAAGTATACCTAAATATGTATTTAGGTTCAAACTTTTTAGACTTATATATAACAAGAGTGGCAGGTGTTCGTCATTGTCATCCAATTTGTCTCCTGAGCGATCAATAGGTGACGTCATACATTGATTGGACGCTCCAGTTGATTGATGCCATCAGCGCGTATCATCACTAGTAGTTTCAATTATAACACTTGCGTTCGTACGAAGTTTTAATGGATTTTATTTGTAGCATACTTGAAGCCTTGATGACGTTTTTTAGTCTTGTTTAGTCAAAGTATACATAGGTACCTACTCTTTATTGCACATCATGGTTAGGAATAAAGAATTCATACTTACTTATATTGTAAATCTCAATGTGATTTTGGTTGTTTGTTACGCTTTCACGCCTAAACCATTACACCGTCTTTAAACACACAGTAGCATAGTACGATAGGCTACTTTTTATTGCAATAACCGACATACACGCGGGCGGAGCCGCGAGCAGAAGGTAGTGTAAAAACAAACAGAACATAACAGCTACTATGAAAGCTAGATTGACTGATAGAATTCTTATATACATTTTTCGTAAATACATACATATTAAAATAGAAGACACTCAAACTCCGAAACAAATATTTGCAGATCATACAAACATTTGATCCGGGAATAGAACCCGAGACCTCAGCACAGTGGTCGCATACGCTATCACCGAGTTAGTCATGTGTATCTTTACTCTCGCTTCCTTGCAATCTGGGGGCATGATTTCGTGAAAAGTGACGGAAATATGAAACAGGAAGCCAGGAAGTGCGTGCTGTTTGGTTAAACGAATGAGCACGCACGGTGCTTGAGTTGACTCTCAAATAGTGGCTGAGAAGTCATATACGAACGAACGCCATAATTAGCTGATAAAATATCGAATTTGGTTGTAATAAAATGATTAATAATTAGGTTTGCATTTTACACTGTAGTACAAATAACTCATTATTGCCTTAAAAAATCTATCGCTATTTAATTTTGTCGAACTTGACTTGCTTATTATGTTGTACCCGATTCCAGTGTGTTTGTGTCTTTTGTATCATAGAGACAGAGAGAGAGAATACGTGTATAATGTAAGGCGAATATGTGTAAAGATTTGTAATGAATTTATTGTGTGTTTTATTTGATAAGACTGAGGTTTAGGCAAATATGCTATAGGCAGTCCTATATGCTAGTTGATAAAGACGCGATGAGCATTTAACAGTATTCTTCAATCCAATGAATTTCGGATGACCTTATATACTAGAACTAAGCTTAGATAGAGCTAACTCAAAAATCCTTTTACTACTACTACTAACAGAAATGAGCATTCCCTGAATATTTTCTTAAAGGAAGACTTTCGGTCGAGTCACCTTCCACAACAAAAGCTAGATGAAACATGATGTGTTCATTTAGAAGCTACGATGCACATATACGCTTTAAACTTATAACACATTTTTTTTTTCAGGCTAACATCATTCAGCTATCTATTTCAGTCCTAAATATGCCCCTAAAGAAAGAGAATATTTTAGTATTATTAACAGTATATTTCTCTTAACAGTCTCGATGGCAACGCAGCCGCAGTCGCGAGAGATGTCCAGCTGGTACTATATTTACTCTGGCACCAGGGCACGACTCCAGTGGCACCGAATATACAGGCGACCAAAGCTCCGAGCACAGCACTCCCGCGCACTCACCCCGACATCGAATGAAAAGAGGTAAGAAAGGAACAGATACCATTTCTACTCTGAATCCTGTAATTATACAGCTCAGTGATCTCAACGACTAGCTTTCGATGGAAAGGTACTCGTCGCGTTATAATTTAATAACAAAATAAAAGAAAGAAGAAAACATTTTGTTAAATAATAATTGTCAAATTAATCAGGTATTGTGAGACACATTCTGAATGGGTCAAAAATGAAGCCTATATTAGCATTGTGCTACATTACAAGAAGCAGCGCTGGCAGAGTGTGTTATCAATTCTAAAATAATAGAAGAATAGTAGGCCATTGTTAAGTTCTAACAATTACACAGAAAAGAAGCAGAAACTAAAAGATACGTATGTAGTTGTACCCGTTTCAATTAATTTATGCCTCCATACGTTAGAATCTCATTAGTTTGATATACTCGGTAATAAACTGCTGATAATACGCGTAATACGTTAAACTGTTCTTATTTATTTCAATAACTTAACAAAAGATTGTTAGGTGCTTTTTGTACTAAATTAGTGAGCAAAATATATTCGTTTTGATGAATTACCGGTTATCTTGTGTCCAAGATTTTTAATACTGAGATAAGTCATTCATTAAAGAAGCTTTAAAATTGTTGCGCTGCGATATATTAAAATTGAGCACATATAAAAGTCCTCCTTGAAAATTGCTGAAATGCGGGGAAATATTATCCTTGTAATGTACTTGTAATGGATGTATTTCGTCCACGTTCAATTATATTATATTTTTTTAGTAGATTAACCAACGAGGAACCAAAGATTACCATTTACATCTAATGCATAAGCACATCAGCTTTTTCTTGTACGCAAAGAAATAGATACCTAAAAGCCTCTCTCTTGCCAAATCCGACGTGTAAGAATTCGCGACCTCTAGCTAATATCAAATATATTTACCCAAGTAAACATCTTCGCTTCAGACACGGAGGTTTTTCGATTTATTCTGCACGAACATAAATCATTAATGTAAGATGTGTTTAGCTAGTTAAGTCCTCGATCCGTATTTGGTTTATATAATATTCACAAGATAAACGATTTGGGTGAAGACGAAGCTGCGTACACGATTCACAATATATTTCTACAGATTTCAATGCTCAATTTCTTTTTAATTACATTAAATTAAAATAAAATGCCTAATGCCTAAAGAATGCCTAACGAAAATTAATTCAATTGATCGTTCAAATCGTGTATGGCGGTGGAGTGGTGGGAATCTCTCTCTCACCATTTGCGGTGCTAGATTTACTTTACGTTAAAAACAAATTTTCTCTCCCTCTGCTGCCTACTATGAAAAAAATGGCCCATTTTCTTTACTTTATCACGGCAAATTTTAACATCTCCCAGATGCATGATAGGCATCTGGGAGATGTTAAAATTTTGCGGAGGTCAAACTCTTAAGAAAAAAATGCCATTTTTTTAATTGTCATAGGATGCTTTCTTGCCGATCGCGCACGGTTTTGTACCTATTTTTATATTTTCGCAAATTGTGCGGTAACTAAATATTAATATGCGCCTCGAATTAAAAAAAAACGGTATTAAAAGCTAAAATTGAAGCCCCAAGCGGATTTCCTACGAGTCACTGAGTCAGCTGAGAAAATTAAGGGAGAAAAATTCGAGATAAAAGCGTGTTTTCTCGAAAAGTTTCTAAATAAATTGACTTCAGCAACTCTGATTTTCTTCGTTTTTTACATTACAACCTCTTATGTTTTGTTTTTCCATGAAAGTTTTTTGCCCTGTTTTTTTCCATAAACCGGCTTTTCACACCTGTTCGATTTTTTCAAAAACTTGTCACGAACTGATTTCTTTCAAAGTATTTTTTATAAAAAGCTAATGCTTTTCCCTGAATTATTACGTTGTCATATGTTTATATATTTCCTTATATTGCTGTACATTAGTTACAGAGTATACCATACGACTCCAAAATATAACGTGATGGCCACAACGTTCTGTAACTGTGGGAGAGCAATGTTCCGGCACAAGTGGGCCGGCCAGCTCGACTGGAGTGATACCACCAAAAAACGTAACGAGGTCATTCGAACAGTAAATTTTACTCTTCCTATTTTTTTCATACCAGGTTTCTTATATGAACGTCGATTCTGAAGGAGTAAACTCCAAAAATAAAACAAATATGGCGGTGTGTTGTGTTTCATCATCATCATCATCAACAGCCTATAATAGTCCACTGCTGGACATAGGCCTCTCCTTAGAAAGGAGGTTTTGGCCTACTATACCACGCTGGCCAGACGGGTTGGTATAGGGTTTGTTGCAAGTTTTCCTTCTCTTTGCAGTGCTGTTGTCCTGCGTAGTTTGTTCCCTTAGTCGGCTCTTACGACACCCACGGGATGAATAGGGATGGTGACATTCCGTATTCTTAATCCGTCACCATACGGACAATGTTGTGTTTAAGAAGATATTAATGTTATTAATTTTTATCGAAGTTGCTTTATTTGTATGTTGTAATAGACCATGTTATTAGTGCTTATACTTGTTTTGCGTAATCAGAAGATCTATCCTAAGAAATTTGGGTTTTTCAGGGCAAGTTAGTAAGTACTAATAAAACACTTAGATGGCTATCTGTGATGTCTAATCTTTAAGTCTCTAAATTGCCTTAATTCTATTTTATTTATTTCACATTTAAAAAATGTGAAAGAATTTCAGTAAATGTGCTTATATACCAGTATGTCATTTATATCATAAAGGTATACTCGTAACTACACTCTAATATAATAAAACACACCAATTCATTATTTTAAAAATAAAACTTCATCCTTGGAGGGGATCGAGGCGAATGACGTGTAAAATATAGGGATAATGTGCGTGTACCCACCCGAAATAATATACTGTTTTAACTGTTGGATACTCTGTAACTGCTAAAGAGGTTTTTACTTATAAAGGTGAATATACCCTTCCCATTTCAAGAACTTAAAAAACTTAAGTTCAAAATCAATCACAATCCTTTTGCTCATTGTAATTTTAATAAAATGTCTCTAAAATTGTTTCTCTCTTCTCTAAAACATTTATTACATTATTCAAACTTATTGTTTGCTTATGGAGATTTATGGTGAGCATGCTTCATCTAATACATTTTGTAAGAAGTGGTTTAGGCGATATCAAAATTACTAGTTTAGCACGGTGGGATCAGAAAGATTTTGTATATTATGAGTATATTAAACCCTTATATATTAAAGCTATTAATGGAGAACCACACCTATTAATTATTTAAAAACAAAAAACCAGACTGAAAATAAATAAGTACTTCAAATTTACAGAACAGCGATTTTAATTTTTTATTATTTTCATGTATCCAGTGCCTCATTCACAATTATGACGAATCTCAATCCCAAGCCAAAATCCGTCAAACCGTTTAGAGCATTTCAAAGAAATGTACATACATAGGTACATACACTGGAAAATCATAATCTTCCTTCTGGCGCGGCGGAGGAAAAGGTCACCAATTGAAATATTATATTATTATCTTACCTCTTCTGACCTCTTTACTTGTAAGTTCCTACGAGTAATAAATATAACAAAGTCTATGTTGAGCCTCTTTTAAAGACTGCTCTTACTTATGATCACAAGTTCCAACAGGAACTCTTGATAGCCGAGGATTGTATTATCCATTTAGGGCTTTTAAAAGTTTAACAAACATAGTATAAGTAAATTTTTTATTCCCAGAGCTCGCCTAAAATGTTTCAAGGTAGAGCTACAGATAATGAACGCAGAATAACTAAAATATACTCTCCGCAACTCTAGGGGGAACAATTCGGTTACAACGTGTAGTGGTTATATTGCGGAATATCTCGCAGTCAAAATATAGTGCTAGCCAAGAACGTATCTGTAACGTTCTTTACTAACACTATATTAGTTTATATGTTACCAACTGTTCTTGCTTAAAATATACACATTTTATTTAGTGTTTTTTTAAAATTAATTGTTAAAAACAAACAAAAGATCTGTTGATTCTATGGCTACCTAACTTTATACGAACATCTGCTGGGCCTATCTGAAAGGTGCCTAAAGATTTCCTGAAAATAAGTTTAGCCATTTTGGAATTCATAGGACGATACATTTACATATTAATTTTGGTGTAATCGTCATCATAAACCTTTAGTAGTCCAATTCTGGATATAGGCCCCTCCTTAGAAAGGAGGTTTTGGCCTACTATTCCACGCGGTCAGACAGGTTGGTATAGTTTATTTTTAAGTTTTCCTTCTCGTTGCAATATTGTTCTCCTGCGTAGTTTGTTTTGCGATTTTTGTATAATATTATGTGCTTGTGCTCACGTACGTAGGAAAAAAACCTTCTAAATATCAATATAATCTATCGAGATATCAGTTCTGTTTACGGAAGTTAGTTTTTTTGTTGTTGATCCAATGATTTAAATCAACGCAGTTGGAATTGTGACTTCCCAATGAAGTACATTAATGGGTACACTGTGTCATTAAATGAGTCAAGCCGCCGCCTCTCGTTCAAGATGAAAGTTCGAGCTCGCATTCTAGACACTCTAGCAGATTCATTACAACCTTTAACTTTACTAACTAAAATTATTAAAATGTAGGTTTATGGATATATGTACCTAGGTAAGTATTTATGTATGTGTATGTATTTATGTATGCATAACTTATCAATGATTTGCGGCTAATCACACATTTCACATTTCACCATCCTAAGGTATCATCATCATCATCATCATCAGCCTATCGCAGTCCACTGCTGGACATAGGCCTCTCCCATTGCACGCCACTTAGATCGATTTTGGGCTTCTCGCATCCAGCTCCTGCCAGCCATCTTGCGCAAATCGTCACTCCACCTGGCCTGTGGGCGTCCTACACTACGTTTGCCGAGACGCGGTCTCCGGTCTAAGGTAGACTAGGAGAAAATGCCTGTGCTTTGTGCATAGAGAATCAAAATAAATAAAAAAATTGAGGCACTGATCATCATTTTTTTTGTGTTATTCGCCAGTCTTGTATTGAGTAGGTTTCAAATTTTCTACAGAATAACTTATCGCTGTCAGAAAATGTCTGAGTACGTAAGTGGTACCCGACTCAGACAATTTCTGACACAGT